CCAAATCCTCACCTTCTCTATAAACCACTGAGACAGAAAACAACTGTCAGCCCACGTTTCTTTGAGCCAAAAGAGGCTGTTTTGTTAAATACACGAAGGAATGCCCATTTGCTAACACTTGTCAGAAATAAAGAACACCCAATGGCAAACACTGAGTAGATTCCTTTCAAAGCCTTCACACATCTGGAATACTTTTTGATACAATTATTTGTTAAATTGACTTATCTCCACTTCTAAACCGTCAAAGGAGTTTCGGGGATTTGGATCTTTATACAGCTTGATCTGGGTGGATCACATAGAAGAAAAATGATGTCTCCCAAAAACCTGGAAACAATTTGAGGGATGGATGATATAGAAAAATGTATTGTTTGTAACACGAGTTCATTCTTCATGAGCAACCAAAAAGGTCTTCATGGCTGATAAGGGTGTCCATCGAGTACTTATGAGGCACAGGGTAAGGACTCTAACAGGAAGGGGAGCTCTCAACCAGACAGACCCTTCTAATTATAGTTATAACTAGCATGCATTCCATGAACAAGGGCGAGCTTTAGGACACTAGATATCATCTATAAGAGCAGAGAAGCCTAGCTTCTGGATGTTGAACCGAGATAGGAAGGATAGGGAGTAAGTTATTTACCAAGAACAAACCTAGGTGGACAGAAAGGCCCAGGGCAAGAGGAGTGAGGCAGGAAGCGAGCAGGTTCCCTAGTGAAGCATGATTGGAAGCATTGTTCCAGGGAGGGATAAAGCAGGTGCAAAGGTTCAGAGGTAGTTAAGTAGGGAGCTTGGAGGCTTGCCCTCAGAGTCCTCAGGCGTCAATGAAGCTGACACAAGACAAAGGAGAACACCAACAGGGGGAAGCAGTGGGAAGCAGTTTGCTGGACCGTTTGCCTCCTCCCAGCCAGGGCAGAGAGAACACAGTTGAGGGTGTGATGAGACTTAACATTTGTAAGAAGTTATTGCTAGTGCTAGGTATGGTGTGAAATAAAACGGTATAAAGAGGAACTTCCGGTCCAGGCAGATGATGTTGCCATGGTGGTAAATGAAAGAAAGGCCAGTCTTGTTCCTCACTGTGGAGTAGATGCAGGTAGATCTCACTGTCACAGCCTGGGGAACGCCACTCTCTCAAGTGTGCTGATGCCAGGGCATGTGGCTACACACCCCATCACTAGCAACACAGGCACAGCAGGGATGGCCAGCACAAATATCAGCTGTGCCGAGGTTGAGAACCTCTGAACGAAACAGAAAAGACTGTCTGAATAACCTAGAGAAGAGAGACTAGATAGGTGCAAGATAGGTTTCAAAGATAAAAACCACAGATCCAATGACTGTCTGGACACCAGGAGTCAATGGCCAGAAGGCGCAAAGATGAGCCTCAGCTTTCTCAGCAACCCTGAAGTTTCATCAAGAGATTCTCTTCTGCCAGAGAGCAAAACCAGACTTGCTCTAGAATGCCTTTACTCTTACAGACAGGTAGGTAGGTCAGGGAGGTCAAGGAGGGAAACTGAGGGTGGGAACAAGTCTCTTTAGCTGAAGGATAGCACAGATCCCAGGGCTACTACCAAGAGATGTGGCCTCAGGCAAGCCAGAAGTATCTTTCTAGGGCCCTGCTGTTGATGGCAGTTTTAAAATATGGTCCTGGTCTTAAAATGTTTAGACAATGATCTGAAGGGTAGGAATTAATTCACCCAGCATTTATGAAGCCAACACTGCATAGAAGGAAAAAAATCATAAAACAGGACTGGGGGTGGGGGTGAGCTCAGTGGTAGGGTACTTGCTTAGCATTGCGAGACTGTGAGTTCCTGAGACTGTTCAGTAGGTGAGGCTGTGAGGTATGGGTTTCACCACATTCTCCAAGGATTCCTAGCACACTGAGGTCTAAAAAAACACTAATAACACTTCAACCGGAGCAAACCACATGGTACAGTCCGGCCAAACACAGGGTGCTCAGGTGCTGTCAAATACGGAATCCTAAGACAATATGAAGAACACCAGACCTTTTATGAAGCAAGTTTTATTGCATGCTTCAGTTTACAGTGGAGAAACAAACACTGGAATTTAGAAAAATATGGAATAAAAGTTTTGTATCTGGGAGTTTCCAGGCAACCTAAATCCTTCTGCCTCTGGCAAAGAATAAACAGAACCTAGGAGGGACAGAAAGTTGGCCCAATGAAATACACAAGTCCTTAAACAAGTTCCCAGTAGGAGGGGTTACAGCTGACACAGGAATTGCTGACCCTCTCAGCAAAGGCCATGGAGGGTTAACTTGGGGACAAGAGGAGCAAGCTTCCCTAAGACCTCAGCTGAAGCTGGCTAAGGGTTAAAGCCAGAGACAGCAGCAAGGGCAGTTTTGGATCAAGACATCCTTGGCTGTCTCCAAGCATGGCACAGAGTTCCATGTAAGTCCTGAGCAGGGCTCCCACTACAGTATGGGAGCTTTGTGTCTCTCAGAAATCAACATCTTGTTCTTAAGTGTCGCACTCTTGATTCTTGGTCCCACTTACCCCACAGAGCTCCAAAACACATCCACAATTCTGTTCAAGAATCATATTTTTGATTCTAAGAGAGCGTTTACCCAAACATCCCAGAAAGAAAATAGAAAGGCAAGAAGAAATAATAAACTATCTCAACAATGAATGATGTATGAGCTCAGAAGGAGTGAATGGCTTATTTATAAATAGGCGTCACTTGTAAGACGACACAGGAAGCCCAAATGACAGCCCAAACAAGAGACACTTGGAAAAGCCTTCACCCCAAGCCTGGCGCCTGGCTGAAAAGCAAGCTCAGCCCTCTGTTTGGGTGAGCTGCAAGCTCACCCCAGTCTTTTGTGAGCCTGTGCGGTCCTCCGTGAGCCTCGGAGCTGTAAATATTTGCCCTTCGCCCAGAGCTGGCCAGCTGTGGAGACTGCAGCTGACAGACAGGCCAGAAGCCAGGGAGGGGGTGAAGGGTGGAAACTTTCAGGCCCTGTGTGCAGGCATGGAAGAAAGAGTAGGGGAGGGGATATGGGGGAGAACATAGCAGACACAGGTCCCTGGGGCCCCCTTGGGCAAATATGCTCCCCTCTCTGACAGGCCATCTGGAGCCGGCAGTCAGAGTGGCAGCAGCAGGGTCCACACCCCTGACCAGGAGGCAGAAACACCCAGCTGTTGCAGTGGCAGTCTTGCTGGCTGGCAAACGAGCACTTCTCAAGTGTGTGGGGGGGGTGTGGTCCCCGAGAGGATACTTGACAATACCTGGAGACATTTTTGGGATGTTGGGGTTTGAGAGGAAAGTCTACTGGCATCGGGGAGGTTGTCCCCAGGAATACTTTTCAGTGTTCTACGGGGTACCTGACAACAGAAGTCCTAAAACACCACCCCAACAACAAAGAGTTACCAAGCCCTCAAATATCAACCAACATCTAGACAGAACCAAAGTCTAGTGAAACCGGTCTTCATAGGAGGCAGAGCCTGAACTCACTCCTTTCATGTGAGTACCACTACAAGGGTTTTGGATGGGTTATATAATCCCCCACCCCCACCAGTCAATGCCCTTATCTGTAAGGATTAGGTGATGTGTAAAATACCTCACCTCCCACTGCTGTCGGCCCTTAACAGAGTAACTGGTCCTGGAGGTTATACTGCAACACAACACACTCATGGTTAAGAACAGGGACTAGGACAGTGCTTCTCAACCTTCCTAGTGCTGTGACCCTTTGACCCTTGCACACAGTTCCTCAGGATATGGTAACCATCGACCACAAAATTGTTCCACTGCTGCTTCACAACTGGAATTTTGCTACTGTCATAATCATAATGTAAATATCGGATAGACAGGATAGCCAATATGTGACCCCAATGGGGTCGCGACCCACAGGTTGAGAATCACTGGACTAGCGCGATGGGTGATTAAATCCACTTCTGAACCTTAAAGCCCTGACCTAAACATAAGACTGTCCCTCCAGGAGCCTTAGTTTCTCCATTTACAAAATGGCACCCATCGTACCGATGTTCCTTACTGTGGGTGGGGGCGATGAAGAAGAAAGAAATGAAATGATTGGTAAAGCCTCAGGAGTGGAGGCCGATAGAATTACCCTGATCGGCAGGGCAGAGGACCGGCCCAGGAGCAGGCACTCTCAGACAGGCACTCTGCCAGTTCATTTCCTTCATTCTCACCTTGATGAAAATAGCATCGTTTGACACTAGAGGTAAACTGAGGCACCCGTGGTGGATAAGCCACAGGCTGGCTCCCCAAAGGCAGAGATCTCAAATCAGTTCTAACTGCAGCAGACGGGCACTTAATTATCACTCTCTAGTTATTGGGGGCAAGGTGGGGGGTCGCCGGATTCTTTCTGGATTGCCCAAATGAGTAGTCTTAGGGTGCCTGTGTTTTCCTGCTTAGCAAACCACAGTTTCCAACTTCAGAGGGGTTAAGCTGCTTGCTCAAGGTCAGCCAGTGAGCTGGCAGGAAAGCCCGTGTTTGAATGCAGCCCTTACCCTGGGGCCTCTCTCCTGGCATCCTTTTCAAGCTGCACCACAATGGCTCTGGGTCCCCCTGATTATTTCTGGGATCTCAGCAGATTCCTGGATCCAGGTCACTGTGCAGTGCCACATCCACAAGGGCCGTGACTCTGGTCTCAAGACCTGGTGAGCAGCTTCCCCAGGATCACCAGGCCGGCCTGCTGGGCAAAGCCTCTCAACACAACTCTGATTCTGAAATTTTCTACACTTAGTTGTGGGTTCCCTTTGGTGTTTACAGGCACTCTCCAGCTCCCCCCACTCCCCAAAACTGCTGTTGCTCCACCTTGCCCTGTGTGTCCTGCCCATTGGGACCTTACTTTCTCAGTTCAGATTAAGTAACTCCGCATGGAGTGATGCAGCTGGCAAGCACAGTCAACAAGGGGGTGTCAAAGATACACCCAGGAAAGACCCTAGCATCCCATACTTAAAGGACCGGGGTGCGGCTCTGGGTCAGTTAAGGCGCCTCATCAGGAGGGGAGGCCAAAGCGGGAGATCGCCTACCTTGCCGGCGGGCGGCGCGGCCACGCAGCGGCTGAGCGAGTCGAGGCGCGCGCTGTACTCGGTGAACTTCTTCTGGTAGCGCAGCGCGGTCATCTGCAGTTCGAGCTGCGCCGCGGCCAGCTGCGCCACCAGAGACTTCTCGCGCTTGCCGGCCCGCAGCGCCTCCTTCTTGAGCGCCTTGTGCAGCGCGCCCAGGCGGGCCTGCAGCGCGCCGTTGTGAGCCCGCAGAGCCCGCGCGCAGCAGTGGCCGCCCGCGCGCTGCTCGCCGTGCGTCAGCGGCAGCCCGCAGCCTTCCTGGCAGCGGCCCACGGGCCGCGCGTCGCACGCGTCGCGCATGTGGGCCTCCACGTCGCGTCGCAGCAGCAGCTGGCCGCAGCCCGCGTGGCGGCAGCGCGCGGGCGCGAAGTCGCAGCGCTCCAGGTGCTCGGGCAGCTCCTGCAACTTGACCACCCGGCCGCAGCCCCGCGCCGCGTGCGCGCACTTGATGTCCAACTTCAGGATGAGGCGCTTAAGCGGCAGGACGTGGTTGAGCTCCTTGGCCGACAGGCGACCGCGACAACGCGCCGGGCAGCTGCCCTCCTGCACTACCCAGGGCAGCACGCAACCGGCACAGAATACGTGGCCGCACGGGGTGGTCAGCGGGTCCTCCAGGACCTTGTGACACAGCGCGCACTTCAGATCAGGGTCCACGTCGCCATCGAAGCGGTCCAACTCGAAACCCATGGTGGCGGCCGGGGCCCGGTGTCGCCGCCGGGCGACCGGCCGCCCCCTCCCTCCCTCCCTGTGAGGCGGCCCAGACACGCCGGCTACGCCGCCCGCTCTCCAGCTAGCTCTCCCAGGACTGAACCTAATTGCTCCAGACTTCCTCGGAAAATGCCCGAGGAACAGGACTCCTCCGGCCGTATTGGCTCGAGCGCGAGCGCACTCACATCCTGCCTCAGCGGCCTAGCGACCCTCCTTCTGCCAAAGGGAGGGGGGCCGCGAGGCAGAAGGGGCTGAGGCGACCAAGAAGCAAAGAGACCTACCAGAGACGCGAGATGGACCCCCTCTTAGGGGGGTCTCCTCTCCGCTCTCTTGGAGGCTTTGCTAAAGGACAAAATACGACAGCAGCGAGCACTTTGCTCAGTTTGGAGCTGCTTTTGTGGCTGTCGCCTAGAGAAGTTTCCCCGCAACCCTTCAGGTCTATTGCACTCCTCGCCTCCTCCTTTCTCTTGTGTCTGCTTTTAAGAGCGAAAAATATCTCAGACCCCGCTAGCTCTGTATTTACGGTCTTTATTTATTTATTTCTCTAGGGGGAAAGTTCCAGCCGCTGCAGGACGCTCCTGCTAAAACTTTGGTCGCTACCAGAGGATCTGCGGAACCGCAGAGTTTATCAGTCAGAGGTTTCTAGGACCAGAGGGCGAAATTGCAGGAATTAGACCTCCCCTCCAGCTGTCTGGGTGGGACAGGCCAGAGTGGTTGGCCGGGTCCACTTCTCTTAACACCTCTGAAAAGAGGGCACTACAGTATGGCATGCGTTTTGCTGGGAGCTTCTAAATCCGTCTCTTTAAAAACCAGCTAGGCAGTGTTGTGAGAGCGCACATTAGCTCCACTTGAAAACTATTTGCCCCGCTTAAGAAAGCCCTGACTCTGGCGGTAGGAGAGCTGGGGGAGTTTAGAACTTCAAGTCCCTGTAACAACGCCCACCCAGTTGTCTCGGGAGCTACATCCCTTCAGCTTGTTTTTGTTGTTTTGTTTTTCTTAAGTGTATTTTTTTTTCTTTTGCTTTATCTCGATCTCTCCACTGGTGAAGTTCAAAGACTTTCTGCAGATGCGCTCTTTTGAGAGTTTTATGTCTTTTTCGGATTGTGAGTCAGTGGTTCACGTGGAGCCTGAGTGTCCACATTGAACGAATCTACCAGCCATGTAGAGGCTGCTGGTCTATAGGCACCCTGAATTTCAATTTGATTGAAAAACCCTTGCCATCCCGGGCTCTGTACTGTTCTCTTTTCCTCCAGGGCAGCTTCTCACGCCGGCAAGCCTGACGTTGTAGTCTGCGGCAATACCTGTGAGTGTCGAAACAGCACTAGGAGGATTCCAGCCCAAGTGGGGAAGTTCATAACATTACCCATATAGTTGGTAGTTTTTTGTTTGTTTGTTTGTTTAAAAAAAACAAACAAAAAAACAAAACAAAACAAAAAACCTCCCAAGGCTGTAGACATTCCTAAGAAACACGCAGTCAGTCCTGGTGAGAGTGAAGTCAAGTTCTGGAATTCTCGTTCGGAATCTGCTGCCAGTTTCTCCAGAGAATCTGGAAACAGAGAGCTAAGAGTTTTGTGTTTGGTGTGGACCCAAGAATATGGGATTACAGTATTCCTTTTGTCTAATTGCTTTTACTTCTGTCCTTTCCAGAGCTGCTGGAGACCCATGACCTTCACTATTGAACTGCTTCATTGAAGGGAAAGAATTGCCTTGATGTCTATAAGGATTAGTGTTCTGAACTGACCTCCACAAAGCTGTTGCTAGCCAGATTTTCTGTACACGGCTGAGGTCCCCCAATGGTGTTCTTTAATTCGTACTGATGATATTTGGTGTCTAGTTGTAATACTTTCATTTTATTGCTTCAATCAATTAGCGCGTTTCTTTTCTAGGATGCTGAGTGATGTGAAATCCTCATGACTTTTGCTCCGATAAGCTTGGGCAAGGAAAATCCTCCACTGGTTCATCTATTAAAGCATCTCATACAATGGTAAGAGGCAGATTCTTTCAGCCAAGGTGTGTGGGCTTGTCGGTTTCATAGACAAGCTAGTGTCAACAGGGTGATAATCTTCAAACCAAACTGGTTTTAAGGAACAGAGAAAACTCCACAATACAGCATAAATGGGAGATTAGCACTTACCTGAGATGTACTCTCTAGTTCAGAGCTGTTCCTTCACACATGTTTTGCCCCTGATGACAGACTGGGGGGTGGGAGGGACACAGCTGAGGCAACAGAGTATCTGCCCCCTATTGTCATTCTGCCCCTTCAGGCAAAGCAAAGTCTTCAGAAAGCTTCTCCCCAGAAGTTAACTTTAGTATTAAAATTCTTGGAGGGGGCTGGAGAGATGGCTCAGCGGTTAAGAGCATTGTATGCTCTTCCAAAGGACCCGAGTTCGATTCCCAGAAACCACATGATGGCTCACAACCATCTGTAATGAGGTCTGGTGTCCTCTTCTAGCAGGCATATATGCAAACAGAATATTGTATTCATAATAAATAAATAAATAAATATAAAAAAAGAAAAATAAATAAAATTCTAGGAGGTCAGAAGAAGAAAAAAAACCTAAGCCAAGAAAACCTCCTGGGATGTGAAAGTTGAGGGGAGGGCCATGTGTATTGTTCCAAAGCTGGACTGAACAGACAGGAGAAACAAGAGACGAAATTATTGAGAAAAAGGAGTTGGGGTATCATCAGGTGTTTTTGTTTGTTTGGACAGGAGAAACAAGAGATGAAATTATTGAGAAAAAGGAGTTGGGGTATCATCAGGTGTTTTTGTTTGTTTGCTGGTTGTTTTGTTTTCACTAGTGACACATTCTGCTGGGACCGTCCTTTGTTGTGGGTCTGTCCTCTGTGCTCTGGGAGAGTTAGCAACATATTTTGGTGATGCCCATGGATGCGGTGGCAAAGCAGCATTCTAACCCACCGTGTGTTGTGACATCCGGTCACGGCCAATGTCTCCTGAGGGAAAACCGCCCCAGACTGAGAACCACTACAGTGTTTGAGGGCGGCCTGCTTTTCATTCTGAAGCCAGGCACTGCCAGAAGCCTCACCCTCGACTGGCTGAAGAATCATATGGTGTAGGCAACACAGTAAGAAGAGAACGCTACACTGGAAAATCGAGGTTTCGTGCTATCAAAATGTGCAGTAAATCTACAGGACAACAAATACTAGACACGCCAAGCATCTTGAGAAAAGACTCGGGTTTTCCTGACCTGGATTACCCACTCATTCAGCTGTCTCGGAAGCATCTGGGGGTTGAAATATGGACATATAGTTTAGTTACATAACAAACCTTTATAGTCTTCCCCATCTCTATCATCGCCCTTCTTTTTATAACCTTATTCTGTGCTCTTTCCCATCTAAGTACTAACCAAGTTTGACCCTGCATGGCTTCCGAGATCAGGCATCCGGGGTGATATGTCCACAGTGCAGATCTCACCTGGCCTCATTTCATCTGCCCAATCTCAAGTCAGACAATGGAATCGTTTCACTTGGAAAGAGAAGCTATGGCAAAGCATTCTAAGGGGAGGGAGTGCATTACCAGTAAAATGTGTGTGTGTGTGTGATTATGCCAATCACAATGGAATGCATCTCAAAAAACAAGTATCCGTTTCAACAGTTTCTTAAGGCAAATTCAAGCTTCCTTCATTTTAGAGTGTGAAAAAGTAATAATGACATGGTGACAGGGGCCAGTGTTCTAACCCCAGGACTGGGCTCATACCTGTTTATAGGTGAAACTCAGTAGACGGTGACAGGGGCCAGTGTTCTAACCCCAGGACTGGGCTCATACCTGTTTATAGGTGAAACTCAGTAGACGGTGACAGGGGCCAGTGTTCTAACCCCAGGACTGGGCTCATGCCTGTTTATAGGTGAAACTCAGTAGACTTATTCATTGCAATCGCTCCACTCTCTGCTGTTCCAAAGACGTATGTTTCGGGTTTCTCAGATCATGAGAGACACATGACTGTTTCTAAAGTGAATGTGCATGTTTGGGGGCAGGGGAATAAGGTAAGGGACGTCAAGAGGGAGCTGTACAGTTAGAAGGATTCCCCAATTAAAAAATGCATCACAGGTTGCATGTGAAGATTCAAACCTAAACACAAAACTCAGAATCCCAGGAGTCATAAACAGGAAAATTTCTATTTGGAAAATGAATTTTTTTCCCAGCCTTCATTCTAGTATTACCACCCAGTATATCCTCATAAAAAAACAAACAAACAAACCAAAAGAGACACCTCTTGATAGCCCTGCAGCTCAAGCCTATGATCTAGAAACTTATTAATTTTAATTTTTCTCTTGGCACTTTCTCCTCCACTCTCATTTACTCAGTCCGTAAAATTATGATAATGTTAATCATTGCTTACCTAGCATACGGTAATAATTGCTAATTAACTAATTTTTATATGTAGAAACCTGTGAAGACATTACACAGGTGTTAGGCATTATTATTGTCTGGTGGTGCTGAGGAAGGCTGTCCTGTTTGAGGGAGACTGGTTACAGTGTCTGTCTACCTCGCCATGGGAATGGAAGCTTATAACTCCACCCCATGCATCATCTCCTTGCCGATTGGCTTGACAAGCACAATCCTGCAGTGAGATGGTACTTGCCTAAGAGCCTGCTACAACCCAGTGTCGTTGCCAGTGTTTTGATAGTTAGGAATTCTGCAGCAGAATGTCTTTTGCTCAAGTGTGGGCATCTGCAGGGATGAAAGCATCTGTGGTACAAAGTAGCAGTTCTCCAGGGAGTCATCTGTTCTTTGAGTCTAGTACACAATTGCCTTAATTTACATACTATTTAAGGCCTGGGAGAAGAGTCACTTGGTGAAAGTGGAAAATGCTTGTGCTAGGTGAGGCTCTGAGTTCATCTTCCAGGACCCAAGTGAAAGGCCTGGTGCAATCCCAGTGTCGGGGAGGTGAGGACAGGCAAACTTCTAAGGCTCTCTGGTCATCAAGTCTAGCTGAATTAGTGAACTCCAGACTGGATGGGAGACCTTGTCTCAGAAAAATAAAATGGAGTGTGGTGGTGGGGGACATCCAGTCTCAATCTCTTTACATGTATCCACATGCTCAGAAAAAATAGCT